GGGGAAGAAAGGAGAAAATAAAAAATCGAAAGCAAAAATGATCAAGACATGATATGTGTTGTCGTCCACATGGTGGCGTCAACAACAATGTCGCTCATTCCGCATTTCTTTTCCCCTTCTCCGTTCGATATTCTCATCCCGACACGTACCTCTCCCCCATCGTTTGCCAGATGCCAGTGGTCACCAATAATGATTCCGAAAAAATAATAAAAAAAATGATCATTCTATCATTAATTTCTATGATACACCGTTCCCCTCCTCTGTACCATACATGTTATCACTGTCCGTACCGTATTTTGATCCATCCGTACATCACCCCTCTCGTCCGTACGGTATCATCGTCCATACCTGCGCTGCCAGAGTTGCCCGGGGCAACAAGCCTGGCTGGGCCAAATAACAAAAATTGAAAAATAAAATTCATAAAAAATAAAAGAATTTTTTTTCTCAATTTTACTTTTTATTTTTAATTTGGTACAAAATTTTGACGCGACCTGCAGGAAAAACTTGTTCAGTTTAAATTTTCTGCATAAGGCAGTTATTTTCTGGATTTTTTTTATTTTTTTTTTCAGGGACCTTCCTTGTCCCTTGCCTGGAGGGCTGCCAGGGCAACGAGGGTGACCCTGGCAGCCCGGTTGGTAGCCCAGGTCCATGCCATATTATCATCCCATCATTCATCACAGACTCTCTTCGTCCCTATTGTGCCGTACTCATCTTTCTTACGGTCCTGGTGGGTCGCGTTTCGTTGGAACTGAGTGTGCTTGGATTGGTTTGTCCGTGTGGTATTGTGTGTTGTGTGTGTCTGGTGTTCTCTGTAGTGTGTGTGTGTGTGTGTGTGTGTGTGTGTGTGTGTGTGTGTGTGTGTGTGTGTGTGTGTGTGTGTGTGTGTGTGTTGGACGCTACAGCCCTGCAGGGGTGGGGTGGATATCACGACCGGTACGATTCCGCTTCTGTACATGGCGTCGGGGCTGTAGTGGTTAAGAGACTCGGACTTGGTTCCTGTGGCTGAGGGTGGGGGTTGGAGGCCGTGTGTGCGCGGAGCCTGAGGCCCTAGGCCCTAAAGCACGTATCCCAATCTACTAATCTTCCACACAGTATTCACGGTACGTACCACATGATCATCCAAAGATGCACCACTTGGCTCGTCCGTACCATATAATCATCTCCGATCATTCACGCATCCCCTCCTCTGTATCATAATATCACCCTGGGATACACACATGCACTTCTGGGGCAAGGTCCCACTAGCAATTTAAAAGAGGATTGGAATAAAAGCCTGAATCTTGACAGGTTTGTGGCAAAGTGCAGAAAAGCGAGATTGAACTGCTTTGAATTTCTGCATCTGTGCATCAAACACGACCAGGTTCGGGAGCTTGATCAAATCCTCGGTGACAGTGGGACCTCTCCCCTGGCTTACCTACAATATTATCATCCAATTTTACATAAAGCAGAGGAGAAACGCCGGTGCCTCATCGGAAGAGTCCCCACTTGGTACAACAACATTCCAGACATTGAGCAACGAGGTCACAGCCACTTACCAGTGAGAAGGTCCAAAATGGGTCGTCATTGGGCCCGCGTGGACACCAAGTTTGAGACTTGGAACAAAGAGGGTGACGGTTTGGAGCAGAATAAGGTCCCAGCTCAAAACTAGCAAAGTCCCAGCTACAAACCCGCAAGCTCACAGCTACACACCCGCAAGCTCCCAACTTTGAACCCGCAAGGCCCCAACTGCAAACCAGCAAGGTCCCAACTTGGAACAGGCAAGCCCTCAGCTTGGAGCCAACAAGGTCCCAGCCACAAACCAACCACCAAGCTCCCAACTTGGAACAGGCAAGCCCTCGACTTGGAGCCAACAAGGTCCCAGCCACAAACCAACCACCAAGCTTCCAACTTGGAACCGGCACGGCCCCAACTGCAAACCAGCAAGGTTCCATCTTGGAACAGGCAAGCTCCCAACTCGCAACTGGAAAGCCCTCAACTTGGAGCCAACAAGGTCCCAGCCACAAACCAACCACCAAGCTCCCAACTTGGAACCCGCATGGCCCCAACTGCAAACCGGAAAGGTCCCAACTTGGAACAGGCAAGCTCCCAACTTGAAACCACGAAGCTCTCAGCTGTACACAAGTAACTCCCAAGTTCCAGGGTTCATGTAAATCGCAGATACACAAAACGAAAGAGAGCAGTAAACGCATGCTTTTAATAACTTCACACGCAGCCAATAGTGTTTTTTTTTTTTTCTTTTTCTTTTTTTAATTAAGGGCGACGGCCTTGAGATGTCATCATTGATCTGATCGGCCCCCAGGCAATTCATAAATATTTGGTTTTACTCATCAAGTTCCATCATCTGGATTCGAACACGCGTCTGTATTTCAACAGTTTATGGGAGTACCCACTGAGCTAGGCTCTCGGGTACCGCAGCCAATTGTTTTGTTTTCTTTTCTTGATAGAGTTTTTCGTATCTGCTGCTATGACTGGCACGCCTCCTTACGTCTCTTTTCCCCCCCCCCAAAAAAAACAACAAAAAAGAAAGAAGAAGAAGAAGAAGAAGAAGAAAAAAAACCTTACCTATGTTCTGATGGGTGAAAGCTAAGAATCACATATGCGACCTTTCCGTAAGCAGATCACCAGTTCGAATCCCCATGCACTCAGATGAATATCCAATACAGTTAGGGGTCATGCTCTGAAAAAGGACAGCCTTAAAATTAAAAGAGGGACCCTGCACTCAGATGAATATCCAATACACAGTTAGGG